CAGTGCATATATCTTTTCCAGCTCATGTTTTCATTTTCTTTAGATAAATACTCAGTAGTAGGATCGCTGGGTCATATGGGAGTCCTCTTTTTAATTTTTTGAGGAAACTCCACACTGTTTTCCACAGAGCCTGCACCAGTGATGGCGAACCTTTTGAGCTCGTTGTGTCAGCATTTTGAAAAACCCTAACTACTAAAAAGGAGAGAGATAGTTAGAAACATCGATGAGAGAGAGACATTGATCAGCTGCCTCCTGCACACCTCCTACTGGGGATGTGCCTGCAACCTAGGTACATGCCCTTCACCGGAATCGAACCTGGGACCCTTCAGTCCACAGGTCGACGCTCTATCCACTGAGCCAAACCGGTTTCGGCAACAAAGACTTATATTTTTGATATTTATTTTATATATTTAAATACCATTTAACAAAGAAAAATCAACCAAAAAAATGAGTTTGCGTGTCATAGGTTCGCCATCACTGGGCTGCACCAGCCTGCATTCCCACCAGCAGTGCATGAGGATTCCTTTTCCCCACATCCTCGCCAGCATGTGCTTGCAGATTTACTGGTGGTAGCCATTCTGGCAGGTGTGAGGTGAGACCTCATTGTGGTTTTAATCTGCATCTCTCTGATGATTAGTGATGTCCAGTATCTTTTCAGCTGTCTGTTGGCCATCTGGATGTCCTCTTTGGAGAAATGTCTTTTCAGCCTTCTGTCTATTTTTTGATCAGATTGTTTATTATTTTTTGTTATCACATTGTATGAGTTCTTTATGTATGTTGGATATTAACCTTTTCTCAAATATATCATTTATGAATGTGATCTCCCACTCAGTAGACCATCTTTCTGTTTTCTTACTGGTTTCCTTTGCTGTGCAGCAGCTTTTTAGTTTGATAAACCAATGTGTCCAAAGACAGCTCAGAGAGAATCACTTGATAGGAAAGTCTGAGCAAGAAACAAACTTTTGGTAAGCAGGGAGACCACCAAATGGAGCGTGGCCCTGGCTGGCGGCTCAGTTGGGTGGAGCGTCATCCCATAAACCAAAAGGTTTTGGCTTCAGTTCCCAGTCAGGGCACATACACAGGTTTTAGGTTCAATCCCTAGTAGGATACATATGTGGGTTTTGGGTTCGATTCCCAATCAGGGCACATATCTAGGTTGCAGGTTCAATCCCCAGGCACATATGCAGGTTTTGAATTCAATCTCTGCTCAGGGCACATACGTAGGTTTCGGGTTCTATCCCAAGTCAGGACACATACACATAGGTGGGTTATGAATTCAATCCCTGGTCAGGTTTGGGGTTCAGTTCCCAGTCAGGACACATACCCCAAGCCATGGAGCCCCGGTGCTTGTCCTCTGCCTGAAGACCCCAGGGAAAGAATTTGCAGGTGGGAGTAACCAGGGTTCTTCGAGCAGTGTGGTAGGCCCAGTGGGGCGGGCAGGAAGAGCCGGGAGGAGGTACCTGCTTGGTGCTTGGATTCACCTCCTGGTCCCCCATCTCGTCCTTGGCAGGTACAACTTTGCTTCCAACGTGGGAGAGAGCGCAGACTTCTTTAAGGCCCTCGTTCACAACCCCCACCTGACCTACCTGAACCTGCACGGCACCAACCTATCCTCGGAGGAGGTCGCGCAGCTGAGCGAGGCGCTGAGGCACCCTATGTGCAGCATCCAACAGCTGATGTGAGTCTCTGCAGCGGCTGTGGGGAGCAACGTGTTTTTGACGCTCAGAATCTTTGACTTTCCTCGCTGCCTCTCAGTACCTGCCCGAGGGCGAGGGCCAGGAGATGGTTTTCTAAGCGCATTAGGGCTCAGACGGGGTTTTTCTCAACCTCAGAGCTACTGACAAATCAGCTCATCAGATTGAGCGCAAGGTAATCCTCTGTTGCGGAGGGGGGCGCTATTGAGTGGCTCCCTGGCCTCCACCCACTCATGGCAGCAGCATCCTCCCCCAGGCCCACAACTACACACACACACACACACACACACACACACACACACACACACACACACAAGTCTCCAGACGCGGGGAAACATCCGCGCATGTCAACAGTCATTGTGAGAACCACACACTCCGACTTTTTCACCCACCCCCACCCCCACACACACACACACAAGTCTCCAGACGCGGGGAAACATCCGCGCATGTCAACAGTCATTGTGAGAACCACACACTCCGACTTTTTCCTAATGTCAGTGAAAGGCAACCACAGGCTAATAAGGAGAGCCTGGCTGGTGTGGCTCAGTGGATAGAGTGTTGGCCTGAGGACTGAAAGGTCCCAGGTTCGATTCCCATCAAGGGCCCTCGCCCAGGTTATGGGCTTGATTCCCAGTAGGGGGTGTGCAGGAGGCAGCCAGTCAATGCTTCTCTCTCAACACTGATGCTTCTCTCTGCCTCTCCCTCTCCCTTTCTCTCTGAAATCAATACAAATATATTTTTAATATATTTTATTGATTTTTTACAGAGAGGAGGGGAGAGGGACAGAGAGCTAGAAACATTGATGAGAGAAGCATCGGTCAGCTGCCTCCTGCACACCCTGCATTGGGGATGTGCCTGCAACCAAGGCACATGCCCTTGACTGGAATCGAACCTGGGACCCTTCAGTCCGCAGACTGACGCTCTATCCAGTGAGCCAAACCGGCCAGGGCAATACAAATATATTTTTTAAAAGGTTAATAAGGAGAATGATGGAGTCACATTTTCTGTTAGGAAGTCTGAAATGTGACCATTGGGTTGGCAGGTGCAAGAATAGAAGCTGGGTGTGGCCCATGCCCGATCAAAAAACATTTTTTTTTGCCCTGGCTGGTGTGGTTCGGTAGTTGGACACCCTCCGTGCACCTGGAGGTTGCCAGTCGATTCTGGTCAAGGCACATGGTTGATGCTTCTTTCTCACGTCGGTGTTTCTCTCCCTCCCCTCTCTCTCAAATCTATTGAGAAATCTTTAAATATATATATATTTTTAATTGTTTTATTGCTTAAAGTTTACGAAGAGTATTACATATGTCTCCTTTTTTCCCCCCGCCTTTGACAATCCCCTGGCCTCCCCTACCCCCCAGTGTCTTATGTCCATTGGTTATGCTTTAAGAATATATTTTAAAAAATATATTTTTTAAAATTACACTTGACATACAGTAACATATTACTTTCAGGTATACAGGCTAGTGATTAGACATTTATATAGTTTACAAAGGGATCCCCCAATAAGTCCCCACCTGGCACCATACACAGTTATTACAATATTATTTTTTATATATTTTTTATATTTTTATTGATTTCAGAGAGGAAGGGAGAGGGAGAGAGAGAGACATCAATAATGAGAGAGAATCATTGATTGGCTGCCTCCTGCACATCCCCTGCTGTCAAGCACACAACCCAGGCATGTGCCCTGACCAGGAATAGAAACATGACCTCCTGGTTCATAGGTTGACACTCAACCACTGAGTCACACAGGCTGGGCTCTCTTTTTTTCTATAGTTCAAACAAGATAGTTTATTCCTCTCTTATATTAATAACAGTCTGGAGGAAGCAGGCAGGAAGACAAGGTCCCCCAAACACCCAGTTTCTTCCCACCATTCCCTAGGACCATGGTCGGCAAACTGCAGCTCGCGAGTATCAATGATGAGAGAGAATCATTGATTGGCTGCCTCTTGCATGGACCCTACTGAGGATTGATCCACAATCCCGGGCATGTGCCCTTGACAGGAATTGAACCTGAGGCCCTTCACTCTGCTGGGTGATGCTCTATTCACTGAGCCAAACTGACTAGGGCAATTACTACAATATTATTGACTACATTCCCTGTCCTCTACTTTATATCCTGGTTTTTATACCTGGTAATTTGAACTTCTTAATCCCTTCAACTTTTCTACCCTGCCCCCCAAGACCCCTCCCCTCTGGTGACCCTCAGTCTGTTCTAAATATATATAATTATTATTGATTTCAGGAAGGAAAAGAGAGGGAGAGAGAGAAACATCAATGATGGGAGAGAATAATTGATTGGCTGCCTCCTGCACGCCCCCCAGGGGAGAGAACCCACAACTCAGGCATGTGCCCTTGACCCTAATAGGGCCAGGAACCTTCAGTCCCAGGGCGGTGCTGTATTCACTGGGCCACACCAGCCAGGGCCCTGTGCCTGGCACTTTGTATTTGTACTTCTTGACCCCTTCACCTTTCCCACCCGCTCCCAAGCCCCTCCCCTTTGTCGACCCTCGGTCTGTTCTTTTTTTCTCTTTGCCAATGAGCCCTGCGCTGCCTTGCTCACCACCCTGCGCCCGTGTCCCCTCCCCGCTTGGCAGGCTGGGCAAGTGCGACATCACCGACGAGGCCTGCGAAGACATCGCGCTGCTCCTGGTGAGCAGCCGGAAGCTGAAGCTGGTGTCGCTGATGGAGAACCCAGTGATGGACAGCGGCGCCCTGCTGCTCAGCGAGGCGCTCAAGCACCCGGACTGTGTGCTGGAGTCGCTGCTGTAAGTGTGTCCGGGAGGCGGCCTCACGGACCCCTCTGCCCTCAGGGCAACCCAAACTTCCCTGGCTGGTGTGGCCCAGAGGATAGAGCCTCGGCCTGACGACTCAAGGGTCCGGGGTTCCATTCCACTCAAGGGCACATGCCCGGGTTGTGGGCTGGATTCCTGTGTGTAGGCCCACGGGGCTGCACACTGGGGGCCTGAGGCAGCGGGTACTCTGGACGCGAGCTGGCTGCGGCAGTCATCTCCCTTGCGCCCAGGGTGGTGTGGAGAAGGGGTTGTACCTCCACTCGACTCCAGGTGCGCCAGGACTGCACCCTCTTCTCCCCCACCCAGCTTCACTGGGCCGGCGCCTAGCAGCCCACTTAGAACTGGTGACTGTTGAATTAAAACAATGCATTGCAAAGGCCCAGCGGGTGCTGACACAATGTGATTTCTGCCCAGGGCTCTGATTGTGAAGTGAAGACATTCAATGAAGCGCGGGGATTAACTATGACTCTCTTAAGGTAGCCAAATGCCTCCTCATCTAATTATTGATGTGCATGAGTGGATGAACGAGATTCCCACTGTCCCTACCTCCTATCCAGCGAAACCACAGCCAAGGGAACGGGCTTGGCGGAATCAGCGGGGAAAGAAGACCCTGTTGAGCTTGACTCTAGTCTGGCAGGTGAAGAGACATGAGAGGTGCAGAATAAGTGGGAGGCCTGGCGCCCCTCCATCTCTGCGAGGGGGTGGGGTCAGCCAGTGAAATACCACCACTGGGGGGACAGTGCCAGGTGGGGAGTGTGACTGGGGCAGTACACCTGTCACATGGGAACGCAGGTGTCCGAAGGCGAGCTCAGGAGGACAGAAACCTCCCGCGGAGCAGAAGGGCAAAAGCTCGCTTGATTTTGATTTTCAGTACGAATACGGACCGTGAAAGCAGGGCCTCACGATCCTTACGACCTTCTGGGTTTTAAGCAGGGGGTGTCAGAAAAGTGACCACAGGGATAGCTGGCTTGTGGCGGCCAAGCGTTCATAGCGAGGTCGCTTTCTGATCCTTCACTGTGGGTTCTTCCCATCATTCCCATCATTCCCATCATTCCCATCATTCCCATCTTTGTGAAGCAGAATTCCTCACGCATGGGATTGCTCACCAAGAGGGAACGTGAGATGGGTTAGATTCAACCTCCTGAGGATGTGTTGTTGCCATGGTAATCCTGCTCAGTAGGAGAGGAACTGCAGGTTCAGTTGGTGGATGTGCTTGGCTGAGGAGCCCAGGGGGCGAAGCTACCATCTGTGGGATTAGGACTGAAGCTTCTAAATCAGAATCCCGCCCAGACAGAACCATAAGGCTGCACCTTGGGCCTCGGTTGCCCTCAGATAGCCGGTCCCTGCCAGCGGGCTGTCTCCTCCCCTCTGCGCATCTGGTAGGTCCGGTGCGGAGAGCCCTTGGTCCTGGGAAATGGGGGGTGGCTGGAAAGGGGTCCGCCCTCTCCATTCTTCACGCAATGCACGTTTGTGGGGAGTCTGGTGCTAAACCATTGCAATTGACCTGCTTCTGGGTGGGGGTTTCGTAAGTAGCAGAGCAGCTCCCTCGCTGTGATCTACTGAAAGTCAGCCCTCCACACCAGTGTTTGTCTCGCTTCTGGCCTCTTTCCTTGGGGAGGGGAGGGAAGTGGGGAGGGGACTGTCGCCCGCCCCCTATGGTGGGGGCACGCAGCACCCTAGGGAAGGAAGGGGGACACTGCACCCCTGGAGCCCATGGTGGCATTAGCGACCCTTCCTTCCTTCCTTTGGGGCCCCATCATGGCGACCAGTCGCCTCCTCTCCGGAACCCCGCCGCAGGGCCATTTGGCTCCGGGCTGGGACTAGGAAGTGGGGGTGGGTGGCGGTGGACTCGGCCCCTGACCAAGGGGGGCTGAGGGCCGGCTCCTCCCCATTTTTTCCTCCCCCTCTGAGGAGCATGGTCGACCAGCCCTGCAAAACCGCTGGCGCAGGGCGGCTGCAGGGAAAGAAGGTTGCCTCGTGGCTCCGGGTCGACCAGATGTCCCGGCCCAGACTTAGTCTCTGGCAGCGGCAGCAGCAGCAGCAGCAGGGACCACAAGAGACGGGGTTGACTAGATGGCCCGGCCCAGACAGTCTCTGGCGGCAGCGGCAGGGACCACAAGAGATGGGGTCGACCAGATGGCCAGGCTTTGG